ATTAATAGTATGCAATGACATTCAGTACTTCTTATTAATTATTCAAAAAATTAAATTTATTTTTAAATTGCTTAGAAGATTTGATGCAAATATTGCATTTTCATGTTTCTTAATACAACAGGACGGTATTTAAATTTCGAATAATTCAATAAATCATTGAATTTGGGTTATAACAAAGAAGCAATTCAACCCTCTTCGTGCAATGTATAGTTTTACAACATATTAGTTGGAGTTATACGTTAAATGTGTGTGAAAATGAAAATGTATAAATATAGAAATTCAGGCTTATGGTTCATGGTTTCGTTCAGATAATTTTGATATCCTAGATACACCAGATTTACTATTCCAAACAACTTGGTGTGGAAATCTTTTTTCACTTTTCAAATCATTGCCGCGCGAGGTTTTTAAAATGGTTGGCCGGCAACGTGATATCATTCATTTGGATGTAGATGCCAAGGATTTAAATCGGTTTACAAAGGACTCAGGTTTATTCAAGTGAGTGAAGGCATGGAGATGGCGTCAACCTAACCTAACCTACAACAGATTTATTATTAAAATGTGTTTAAAATAGTGAAAACCATTGAGTTAAGGAAATAAACGCTACAGAAGACTTGCGAGACGAACCACTTGGGTATGGAAATAAATTGGGTGCAGGTATATATGAATATGTCAAATGAATGAACCAAAAATAAACTGCAGAAAGAACTTATAGCTTAACGAGTATGAAGTGTGACTACCGTGAAAATTCGTCATAATTAATAGAAACTCAAAAAAATCAACCAAGAATTTGTTTTTTATAAATTAGAGCAACTTTTCAAAATCTATAAAACTAATGAAATTTCCTATTGTAGCTATATATTTTGTTAATACACCAATTATAGTAAATTTGTTTTAGGAGTGCCAGTCCTAATACAGTCAAAACGGAATCAATCAAAATTTTTTCCTATTTTAGCTTACCGTTTTTTCTAATAACATATGGAAGGAAACGACAAAACTTTTAAGATTAAAAAGAAAACTAAAACAAACACACAAAGGTATGTACGAGTATATGTGTAGCGTATGTGCATATGTATGTAGATATTTAGACAAAAAAAAAATATTAGATTGACAGATCAGGATTGCATATTTTAAAAGTCACACGCATTGCTTTTTCAAGACAGAATAAATTTGCTACGGAACAAACAAATAGAAAAAAAAAAACCGATTAAATATAAAAAAATCACCAATGTCATGTTTATTTCATCATGCCACCAAAACTTGTTTTTCTTTTTCATATTTTGACATATTTAGTATAAATGTATAATGTGATGACTGGCATTAAAATACAGGTGGAATTGGTTAATGATGAAACGATAGCAAATACTTATTTGCAATTTGAATTCGAATAAAATTTATTTTTAATGGTCAGTCAATCTTAAATCAATTTTAATAAAATCATAATTATCTGATCCTTTCAAAATTCAATAACATTTTCTTTCTTTTTTTGCTTAATTGAATATTTCAATTTAAATTTTTGAGATTTAGAAACTACAACAAAATTATTTTTGAATTTAATTGTCAGATTAAAATCAATCAATTATTGTCTATGAAATTTTCAATATTTTTTTTTTTAAATTTTATAATATTAAAAGTACGTGCATACTTGATATGGTACAACTATTTTATTTGTATGTAAATACACTTGTCCCATTTATACGACATGTGTTACTCCATTTTTATTTCTTCAATTTATAAATGCGTAAATCAAACAAGGTGCTTAGGACAAGCCACAAATTATTATACAAAACTAAAATTGTACAAACAACAAAACGATCAACATTTAGAAATTGTAGAAACTACTACTAAACTATTAGGAAGTCTGAGCTTAACTGTATGTAACACGATAATCAGTAGTTCATTTTTACGATAGTCTATATTGTGATGATATACATTGAAAATCTTTACTGATAGCAAGTTATCCGAATTTTACTTAAAAGAGACTTGACCCAAAAAAAATTTAAAACACATAATATTAAGTTGATAACTACAGGGCCATACCTTTCCGGTTCTGTCGATGATAAAATCATAGAATAGAGCTGATAATTGGAAAAAATTAAACAAGTAACATAGTGTAAACAACGAAACAATGAGAAAATAAGAATTGTAATCAAAAACTGTTATCAATTAACTAGATTTGAAGATTCCCTTAAAACTGCTAGGTTTTATTTAACTAAAAGCAACTAAATATAATTGAATAATCACTTATTACGTTTAAAATTATAAAAACGTTAAAGTAAAATGAGAAAAATGAAAACGTATCGAGAGGAATAAGTGTATTTCAGCAATAAAACAAAAAGATTTACGATAATGACAAAGAAGAAAAATATGACTTTAAGCCAAAATTCATTATACTTTTTGTTTTTTTTTATCATATCTAAACGCAATAAAAATGACATACTGTGATCTATAAGTTTATTGATCTCAATTTAATCAACATTTTAAAGAACTTTGACTCATCAACAACATTTTATACAGCTCATTTTTCTTCCGTTAATCTGTGTGTGCGTATGTGTATGTGTGTTTTTCTTGTTCTGCTTCCAATACTATCATCGTTATTATTTTAAAGTTTCTGCTATTATCATCATTCTTGCTGATTTTGATATTATACAGAGAAGACATATGAATTTAAAAACCTTCAAAACCACAGTTATGTTAAATTAAAACATAACAAAAAGAAATGGAAATGGAGAAAACTGAAAATCATAACAGAAGCAAATGCAAAGGAAACGAAACCAATTCAATTTCAAAAACTTATAAAGCTAGTTTAAGAAATCAAAAATAAAATGAGACAAAATCAGAAAAGGAAAAGAGATAAGTATAAAGTGTGGACTGTTAATGCATTTTCTGTCATCTGACAAAAGAATTGGAAGAAGCAAATGACGCGCACTTTTCATTTTGATTCAACATTAACTCCTTGCCTTTTTTGTCTTCAAACTTTTAATACCACACAATATATACATAATAACAATAACTTAATTGACAGATGTTTTACAGATGTAATTTGTGTATTTTATTATGTAAAGTGGTGGTGTTGCATTTGAAATCATTTTTTTTTTTATTTATATTTATTTTATTTATTTCTTATTTATTTATGTCCGTATGTATGGTAGTGTTAATGTATTTTTGGAATCCAAATCCATATATCACTTTTATAGTACATTGTATTAGAGGCTCTTATAAAATTTATCAGTACTGTATATAAAAAAAATGTGGTGATAAATAACAGAAATACACAAATACTGAAATAACATTAGACTGCTCTTAAATTTTGTATGTTTGTGTAGGTAACATGCATTGTGTGAATGAAGTTTAAGTCCTAGTTCAAAATCATTAATAATGAGGGGATCTCAATTTCATTCATATTGTATAATATGAATGAAATAAGAAAAATGTGTTCAAGGTTAAAAATTCATATTATAAATTTATTTAAGTATTTAATTATTCTAAAAATAGAAGAAGACCTAAAGATGAAAGATGAAGAAAAAATTTTCTATAATTTATTTTATTTTTAAAATTAGTTGGGAGATGCATTGCATGAAATGTTGGTGTTTTCAAATATTTAATACGCATGCATAAGTATACGCTAGTTGATAAAGAATGTGTATGTCCCTGTATGTGTACCTAATTCATATTGTACGCACGGCTCTGTTCTACATTAGAAAATAATCAAAAAAATGGATGTGCTGCAGAGTAATTACGCGAAGAATAAAACTTTTCCTTTGATAATGTAAGTTTAAGTTCTAAGACACATGCTGACATAAGATTTGCAATAATACTGTGTATCATTCAGCAATTTGAAATTATAAGCTGAATTATGGGACAGAGATGTCGTGTAGTAAAAACAATATTGCAATTCCTATGGCAGGAACAGTAACATAGTATAACAAAATCTAATTCCGCCTAAAGCGGATAACCACCCTTAGTTTAGAATTCCGGAATTAATCTTATGTTACTTTAAATTCTTACTTTAGAGTCGTATTTATTATTATACTATTTAAAGTCGTCTAAGCTATTCTAAGCTTTCAAGAAATTTCGGCTCACTTGAATAGTAAACATAACAAAGGAAACATGAAAATTTTCGTGTATCATTGATGTTAAATAAACTTACTAGACTTTTACTGTTACCCTCGTTGCATTTTATTAAAGAAATCTAAAAAAAAAAAATATTTAAAAATAATCAGAGGATGAAAGGAAGGGAAATAACCCTTTGTCAAAATAGAATAAAACGACGATAAATCCCGAATGAATCATCTTTATCTTCTTTGAAATTGAAATAAACATTATGTAAGTAGTCTTCTTTCGAAACTAAAAATACTAATGTAGGAATGAAATTAAAAATTAGTAAGCAATTCAATGTCTGATTATGAAAAGTAATGAAATTTTTATATTTATTTTTGTTTTTTTTTTTTTTGCATTATCGTTTTCTTGTTTTCTTTAATGAAAATTTACGATTTGATTTTTGTGGTTTTCATTTTCTTTTTAAATTTTGAAAATTGATTATGAATGATTGTTTACCGTAATTTTATGGTATCCTTTAATATAATATCGTTATTCGGAAGCTCGAATAATCTAAAAATTTAAATATTTTATCATTTTCGGAATTTATAAGTAGTAATTTGGTATAAATAAGAAATTCAGCTTATAAATATTAGGTTGCTGAATTTTACAGTGATATCAACATAAATATCGATCGAAATTGCGGTAAAATTCGAAAATATTTTACTGCAATTCGGAAAAAGCTCAGGTTAAAAATTTAAACGGAAATCTAATGCCAACATAATTTATTCAATAATTAAAATTGTATTTTTAAATAAATCAATAAAAATTATAGGTCTAAATAGGCCAACCAAAAACTGTACCTTAATGTCTGATTTTTTAAAATTAGGTGAATTTTTGCAAATAAGTAAATTACATATGAATGTGTATGTTATTTATTTAAAAAAAACATTAATTTAACTTACTTTCACCGGTATTCGATGGTTCCAATGTCCATAATTGTTTTTTCTTAAGACTAGCACCATTTGCATTCAATTTATAACCGAATGTTTCAGCTGTCATATATTTATGAAGTCCATTTATAAGACCAATAGTCCACCAACCTTTTTGTTGATTTTGTAAAATAATATCACCATTTGTGTGATTTAATTCATAACCTGAACCATTCATTTTTGATATACGGTAATTTATCAAATATTTTTCTTTTATAATATTAAAAATTTAATTCTTATATTGAATATCGTTCCAAATAAAAACAATTAGTCGTTTGTTTTTTTTTTTTTGGGGGAGTTAAGGACAGCGACAACTTTTTTGGTGAAATTCCCAATAAATATAAATTTATTTTTTTTTCTCTTTATGTATTAATTTAGACTTATCCTTTTAAGGTCTAAATTTTTTTCAGAAATTTTAAAATTATTTTTATTAAAAATGTTTATGATGCGTATTTCGTATGCTTGCTGCGTGTTATAAATAAACAAAATGTCAACACACTACTGCTCTGATATGAAATTGCCTGCCTCTGTGATGAGATATAAAAAAATTTTATTTATTTTTTTTTTTGCTTGTATATTCTCTTCTGTTCTTTTGAATTGTATAATTTTTTTAATCTTCCTTTTTCTTGCTTCTGCTGTGTTATCTGACTACTTTTTATTTTATTTTCTTTATTAACATACACAATCTTTTTTAGCTTCCTTTCAATTTGATCTTTGGTTCGTTAAACTTCACTTTTTATAATATTTTTTTTTAAATTCTATTTTTAGTTCTTTTAGTGGCGCTTTATTACTGCTAGTGAATAATAATAATAATAGCTGACTGGATGATAAGTTATTTATCTTCTTCTGTTGTTGAAAAAAAGCTGAAATAAAAAAAATAAAGAAATTAAGGATAAATGCAATGAAAAATTCAGAATTTTTTTAAAAATTTTATAATAAAATGGGAATTTTAATAATAACTTTAGATACATAAGTTCTAGTACCATTAACCAAAAATGTCAAATTTAGCACAAGAATTTTGTGAAACCAAAAAGATTTTTTTAATTTTTGAATATTTCTATGAATTTTGAATTCTTAAAATTTTAAATTTATTGAAAAAAAAAGAAAAATTTTTAATTGTCATAATTATAAAATTTAAAATTGATATTTTAAACAAAGTGTTTAAATAATTATTAATTAAATAAATTTGTAGAATATATGGATTCAACTGTATAGAACTGTAACTGTATATAAGATTACCGCCATTGTACATTAAAACGATGATTTCAATTTGCATATCAAGATACTTTTGTTAACTGATTTTATTAATTTTTACTTTCGCTCTATCACTTCCAAAAAAAAAAATGGTAGTTTGCTAGGTATAACGTATTAGTGACGACTCTCCAATTTAATTTGTCACAAACAAATTCGTCACAGTTTTCTTCACAAAATAGAAATCGTTTAAATTATGATTGATAATTTTTTGTATAAAAATATGGAGAATATCAACCTGCCCAAGGTGTAGTCTCAACTGGATATGAAAATTAGAACTTCGAACTGCAAATTGCCGTTTAATATTGTGTGGTCAATAATTTCCTGTTAGGTCAATAATTTCCCGTTTAAATATTTTCGCCCAATAAGTTTTATTAAGAACAATCGTATAGTTACAATGTTTTTCAAATAATTTTCGAATATTTCAAAAGAGCATTGATTTTTTAGCAAAGATTTAAATTTATTTTACAAATATTTAAAAAATGTGCCTCTGATATTACTGATATTAGGCATGTTCATTTGATAAACAAAAAATCTGATTCCGGAACCAATTAATTCTCCTATGTCAAGTAATAACTATTAAATAAACTGTAAGTGAGATCAAGTTTTAATATGTCTTGCAAAATCATGTATCTTTTAACAATTTTGATTAATTACTATTTTCTATTATTAAATTACATTAAAACAAATTTATTAAATGCAAAATTAAAATTATAACATGTAAATTACAGTATGTTTAAAATTCTACCTCGATATTACCGTTGTAACATAAATTTTTAAAATTATAAATAATCTTGTAATTAAACCAATGTATTTACATTATAAAAAAGAGTTTTGTAATATTTCAAATGTCACGTATTCAAACTATTCAAACTTTTCCATTGCATATACAAAATTAATTTCAATTAACAAAAAATGAGAGCATAATTTTCTTCCTTCCAATTTCATCCTATTAAAATTTTTTACAATCCTACACTAAAAAATTTAAACTTAAATATTTAAAGATGAACTTTTAATAATAATTTTAATAACCAAAAGAAAAAAATCAGATTTAATTAATCATGTGCTCATGTGACATCTACATATGCTTGTAATTAATATAAAGTGAAAATAAATCAACCTTTTTGAAAAAAAAATTCCAATCTATTAATTTGCAAATTGGAATAAATATTAGAGACGGCAATTTTGAATTTAAAAATTGAGTTTCTTGCATTTAAATCATATTAGTGAAGTGAAAATTAATTAAAATTTTCTATGACCCAATGTGGTACACATAATGAATGAGCGTTATTAATGAGAACCAATTAATCATTAGACGAAAGAAAAGGAAAAAAAAATTAATTTCTATCAAATAGGATTTTCTTTTTCAATGATTTTTACCATTTTGAAAATAAAAATTATAGCTGTAAAGAAATTTTTGTCCTTTAATATAAAAGTCTTGGCCTATGGTAAATAATTTATTGTAACTTTTCTCTTAACATTATTTATTAATTTACACTTTCAAATTTATTGCATAAATTTTTCAAATTCATTTTCTAAGGAATTTATTTTTTATTAGAGTTGTACTGCGCGAAAAAAATTTCGTTCAATGCAGAAATTTGATAAGAGTAAAAAGTAACAAAAATATGAGTTATCAAATTAAGTAAATTGAAGAGAAATTTCATTCCGTCATCTCAAAAGAGTAATATCATTTCATATTAACAATTAAAATCATCTCAGAAGAGCTCTGTAATGTCAAATGATCTTATGAAAATGACTAGGACTTTTTTTAATTGTAAATTGTAATCTCTTCGAAATTGAGCAAATTTGTTGCTGTTATATTGAAAATACTGCAACAAATGTAGGACAAATTGCTTCATTTGTTATACAAACTTTCAAATTATTTTTTAAAATGTGTTGTTTAGGATTTCAAAGACAAATTATAAGTAAAAGAGAATTCGCAATTAATTTTAAAATGTTTAAGAAAAATTAATCACTAATTAACAAAAAAAACGTAAGATTTTTAAATTTTGATTAAATACATTAAGTGAATTAGAATTTGTTATCATAGGTCATATTTATTGAAAACCATGCACGCTACGTGAAGGTAACGTAATTATAGTCGTAATCTATCTATAGGTGAATTGCATCTAGGTAAATATTTTTTTGTTCTTAAATTAAAATTATCTCCAATTAAGATTATTCCGCAATACAATTTAATTTTTTTTTTAATTATCTTATACAATAATGATAAGGAGGCAATAAAATACTATCTAGAATGATAATTTTTCTAATACAAAGACCTTCATATGAAAATTGCAACATTCTGAATCTATATAATGCACTCCATTTTTGTATGAATAAATTAATCTAAATAAATATTTATTATGTATAGACAAAATCACCTTCAATTGAAAATTATCACGATTTTTTTCTTCGATATTTCATCATTATCACCATCATCATGATCATATAATCACCCTAAATTTTTTAAATTAATTCATGGCATGACACCATATCATACTAAATTCAAAGGTATTTAAGTACAAATAAAAATGATGGAGGGAAGAGAGTAACACTGAAACAGAAATGAAACGTCTTCCAATGTCTATTTATATAAAAAAAAAATTGTAGTGTCTGTGATGAAGACAATGTCCTTTTCATCAATTCGTATCGTATATGTGCTGCATGCAACAATAAAAAGAAAATGTGTGATTTTCTTGTTTGTTTTTGCATTTTAAATGGAGGAGTGCAATAATATTTTTATATTTTTGTCGCTATATTCATAAGTGAGTCTCAAATTTTTCGTTTTTTTTTTCTTTCATTTTTAAGAAATCGCATTTGTAAACCTTTGTGAATACGATATGAATTTAACAAACAACGATAAATATGACAAAAAGAATTTAAATTGAATGATAATAAGCACTCATACACATGCAAGTAGAATGAGAACAAATGGAGGGAAGAAAAAAGAAATCCTTTTCCAATGTATGCACACTAATAAATAAAGTGCATATGTGTGTAGATAGAAAATTTATGTTGCATTCGTCATATTCATACGATTTACAATAAGAATAAGTATAGAAATTCACAAAGAAATTCAAAAAAGAATAAAATCAGAAAAGAGAACAAAAATGAAAAAAATATTGAGTGAATTTTTAATATTTTAAAATAAATACGAAGGAATTATTTAAATTTAGGCTTTTAAAAAAGTACATTCGTATATTGAGCCGCTTTGAGCAACTTTGAGCCATGAAACATAACAATTTTGAGTTGAAGTTTGATATACAATAGTTGTTCGATTATGTTGGAACATTCTCTTTACTTTTTGTGAACTGTGAACCTTTATGCACCTTACTAAAATGCTTGAAAAACTGAAAATATCGTTAGATGGTGTTTAACCATCAGACATTGAAAAAAAACATATTGTGAAAATTTTACGGTGTTATTAATCTTCAAGTCTGGTGTCAAACATTCCTTATCCTCATACGTACATCAAACTTTTGGATCAAACATTATAGAACATTTAGTATGAACATTAATAAATCAAGCATTCACCACAAACTCAGTAAACTAGATCCTAAGCATTTTTATGTTGAGTTGGTATCAAATGAGTATGCCAGACGGATTGATTTCAATAAGTACCTAAGTATTAAGTCGGCACCAAAAAATGTACATAGCAATCAAACAAACAATGAAAAACGATATACGACTGACGTAAGAAAATGATGACTATTTAAAATTCATATGGTGAATTTTAACGATAAAAATTAATAACAAAAAAAAAGGATGTGGAGTTTTGCTCTTTCTGTTGTTTTTTTTACTTCTTGTTTTATATTTTTTTATTTTATTAGTTTCCAACACTCTGCACAATTGTTAATAAATTAAAAAAAAAGCAATAATGAATAAGATAAGAAAAAAAACGTGAAAAGTCAAAAAATAAAAACATTTTTAAAAAGAAATAAAAACGGCAATGATCCCTTACTACAAAAATTTTCATTAATATTAACAATATGATTGAGTCATGCATGCACATTTGTTAGCGTTTCCCAATTTCATCGAAATTATATACATACATAACTTTCAATAAAAAGTGGAATTAATTATAAAATCTTTAAAATTTATTGAATAATATATTTGAAAAATAAATTTACGACATTAAGATAGCCGACATTAAGAGCCCCACCTTCATGTGTTATTATACTGCCCAAATAGCAGAAATTGCTAGCGAACTCTGTTTGCTGACTATTATGTCAGTTCTATGCTCGCTGTGCTACTTATGTTTATTCTCATTGCTTTGATTTTATTGAAATTTATTTGGAAACTCATTCACTCGGTCTGAGATATTTTAATTTGCTCTGTATGTCAATGATTTTGTGATAGAGAAGGCAAATGTCTTCAGCTTGATCTTGATCTTCCGGTTATTGAGTAAAACTTAACTCTTTTCTGTAAGTAGATCATTTGTGATATAATGACTAGCAAAATTGTGCAGAGTAGCGTTTATATAATAAAAAATATTTAAATATTTAACCAATTGAGGTATGGTGAAGTTCATATTAATTTATCACAATTACTGATCGATTCTCGTTCCTAGTTTTATTCAAAAATAAAATTTACAATATTAATCAAAGTA